CTAACCTTCCACGGACTTCCCAAATGCATTCCGATCATGCTCCTAAGTCCCCAAATCACCTAACGAAGCTAACCAAATCATAAAAAATCCAATCCGAGATCATATACAAACAAGTCAAATATTGATCAAACCTTTCAAATTTTTAAGCTTTCAACTGAGACTATTCTTCCAAATTAAATTCTGTAAACCCTGAAACCCAACACTAATGATATACAAAAGTCATATTGCATCACACGGGACAATTTATGCTCGAGAACTGCTGAGAGAAATGCTAAGCTCAAAATGATCAGTGGGGTCGTTACATGAAATAATTTCCATGCTTCTAATAAGCATAGATTTTGTCATCATCAAAAAGAGGGAATTTATTGACGTGAGCGGTTTTGGTTTTGATGATTGACAAAGGAACACATGCATGGACCAGGTCAATAGACCGTGTACACAGGTTAGGGTCAGATTCAAGAAAAAGGAATGCACACACAAGGGATAAGTATAAGTGATTATTTCTGATAATCCCTAAACAAAAAGGTTGCACATTTGATAAGGAGCAGGACTCCTTACTTGAAGAGAACTCTATCCAAGATAAGGAATGAATTAGAAGTTGAAGATAACTAGAACTCTTCCACCAAGGAAGAGTAGAGCATTAGAACTCTAGTTAATCCTTATTCTACTAACTCTATAAATATCAGTTGTGTTATCTTTTACAGATGACGCACATGGACTGAAGTAAAAGAAAAATTGAAAGCAGAATAGCAAGGCATTTTTTGAGCAATTCCTGTGAGATTCTGAAGTGTGATCTTGAGGTTACACGAACCAGTTCCATAAATAGTTGTATGTATCTTTCTTTATTTCAAGTTTAAAGTGTAGTAGGCATTTTGAGTTGTACCTTTCAGCTTTCTTAGAAGCAAATTTTACTAGGTACCTGAGTTGTATCATTCAAGTTAGAGTTAAGTTGAAATAGTCGAAACAGCCTGTGGCGTGTTGTTACAAGGGTTAGATTTAATCCTTAGGTTTGCAAAAGGTTGTAAACTCGAGTTGTATCTTTCAACTTAGAGTTAACTTGATGTGGTGGAAACAACTTGTGGTGTGTTGCTACAAGGGTTAGAGTTAATCCTTAGGTTTACAAGAGTTTGTAAATATTGTTGTTGACTCAGAGTTGTAGTGAAGTGTTTGAGAAAAATCCTACTGGGCAGTAGGTCATGGTTTTTAAACCTTTTGAGCCTAGTTCTTTCCACATAAAACTCCTTGTGTTCTTTACTTTCTGCATTATTTATTCCCCAATTGTAGCATAAGGAATGCATAGAATAACCAGTTCCTTTTATAAATCAGTGCACACAAAAAATTGACACCACATAAATCACTCCCTCGTGTGTGGCATCAAAGTATACAATATCAAGCTAGGCCTCTGAATTCGAATACACAGCTTGAGCGAGCAACAATATGTTGCTTCATAAAAACACCATGAGACAAGATGGGACAAAGGTATATACAATGTCCATGCGTAGACCTTCGATCATCATAACAGCCAATCCGATCTGTATCAGAAATCCTTGTAATGGTAAAGAAGAAGATGATGTTAGATCCAAAGTTTTAATCATGAAAAATAATATCTCTCCCATTGCAGGTACATTTTAGCAAAGGAAAGGATGAGTAAGATCATAACAAAAAAGAAAGGAGCAAAGGAAAGGAAAAGTAAAATCTTCAAAGATCTGTTAGCCTACGAAAAAAAAGAAAAGAAAGGAAAGATCAAAATAAGGAGAGATCAAGATTGCTGAGAATCCTCTTAAAATGTAAATCAAGCACTGAAGATCCGCTCGTTGAAGGAAGGCTGCCAAGTTCTGAAATAAAAGGATTAATTAAAGGTTGCTCGTTTAAGTAAGGATTTGCTTGTTGATGGAAGGTCCTATCAAGTCCGTCACTAAAGTCATAAATCAACGAAAACTCCACACTTATTCTTGGAAAGAATCATCACTTAAGATTCATTCTAAGGATCGATTTCTTTGGATTTGCAATCTCTTAGATCAACCTCATCAAGAAGCAAAGTAGATCCTCGAGTAATATATATAATGGGAAGACCAAGAGAAAATGCATACTTTGATTGAACAACTTCATGCTCTTTGTTCTGCTCTAAGCAAACATTGTTATCTAAATATGATTTACTGTGTAACTAGTAGAGAGATGAAAGAGAGAAAAATATTGGTAAGGCATGTATAAAAAGTACAAAGAGTGTAGTTAGAACTAAAAAGTAGTTGGTGTGCTTGACAATAACAACTCGCTTGTACGGAGGTTTTCAAGGAGCTTTAAAGAAACCCTCTTGCAACCCAAGGGGACTGAAATAAGATTTACATTAAATTCGAACCAATTTAAAAATATTTGGTGTCATTTATTTTCTGAATTTTACATTTTGCTTTTACTATTTACCCCGTATCTATTTTTAGTCGATTATTTGGTAAACTAGCTAACTACTTAGTCATAAAATGAAAACTAGACAATTCACCCCCTCTCTTTTACTTTCAATTGGTATCAAATAAAGTTTCACACTTTCATTTTTCTTAACAACTAGTGTGAAAAAGATCATATCAAATCAAGTAATCATCGGAGCTCCATCTCAAGAAGGGACTTCATAAGCGAGACCCTCATACTTCAATGGACAACTCTTTTCACATGGAAATCTATTGCAAAGTCTTACTATGTCAAAGTTTGGCGTGTAATAAAAAGTGCAGATTATCCAATTCCAGCAACAAAGTCTTATATGAAAATAGATGGACAAACATTTATAGATCCCATCTATATAGATGAATATTCTGATGAGCAAATGGTGGTAATACAAGTTGATGCCAAGGCAGGCAAAGTTCTCTACAACGCGATAAACAGAGAAGAATAAAGAAGTCTCAAGTTGTAATACGACTAAAGAAATGTGAGATAAGCTGGAAGTTATTTACGAAGGGACAAGAAAAGTCAAGGAAACAAGATAAATCTGCTGATCCATGACTATGAACTTTTTCAGATGAAAGAAAGTGAATTCGCTAAGGAACCGTTTTCCCGATTCAATAAAATTATTGGATATCTAAAAGCTTTCGGAATACCATACTCAAGTGGTGAGAAAGTTAATAAAATCCTAAGAATTCTACCTACTACTTGACAAACAAAAGTAGTTGCACTCGAGTCTCAAGATCTACACAAGTTGTCATATGATGAACTACGTGGAGATCTCATTGCTTTTGAGAAGACATATATAAAAAATGAGGGAAGGAAGAAAAGAAAAAAATTGTCGCTTTCAAAACCTCAATTGAAGGATCTGAAGATGACAACGATAATGAAGCTGATGCTCTAGATGAAGAAATAATGTTGGTTTCCAAAATAATAAATGGACTAATGAGTAGATACAGGAACACGAAAAAGGGAGAATGTCCTATAGAAGAACCTCCAGACAATACAATAAACAAGAAAAGAATGATGAAAAATATTGTGAATGTGAAAAATATGGTCATGTACAAGTAGAATGCCAAAATCTCAAAAGAAAGGCCTCCAGAGAATTTAACAAAAATAAATCTATTGGAAGTTAGAGTGACGGAGACAACTCAGAGCATGCATAAGTTGCAAATTTGTTTTTCGTGTCTATCTTAGAAAACGGTAAGAACAAGTTCTCAGCCTGTTGGGTAGATGCAAATGTATCCGATGGCTCCAACAAGGAAACAACATAGAATTGCTTCATGCCATGTGGTAAATATAGTGAGGTAAGACCCTAAGAATATGATAGATGTAATGAATTACAAGATATTTTTGATCTCACCCAAAAAGGGTCTCAAAAGATTCTCTAAGAATTAAAGAGACTGAATAGGGAGAAGAAGGACTTGGAACTTAAACTTGAAGTTTGTGAAATTGAAAGAAATATGCTTCATGAAAAAGTTCAGAAATTGCAATTGCAACTAAATGACATGTGCAAGTACACCAATCTTAGCTCTGTCAGGTCAAACCAAGCGACTATAAGTCAAATAGAAAAAGACATGTTGGAGATGGATCTACTAGTAATGACACCACCAGTAGGTCAAATGAAAAATCCATTCCTATTTGTTATTATTGTAATAATACTAGTTATAAATATTCCTTTTGTAGATTTCATAACTCAAATGATTCAGGATGGATCTGGAAGCCCAAAAATAGTCCTGATATTACTAGAAGTAACCAAAAAGGACCTAGTAAGCTTGAGTAGCTAAAATAAGGCAATAATCTTATTTTATAGAAACACCACAAGAAAAGTCTAACATGTAAATGGTATCTAGATAGTGCACGTTCTTCTCACATGACGAGCTACAAGAATCTATTCAAAGAAGTTACTTTAAATGGAGGAATGTTTAGTTCGGTGATGATTCAAAAGGCAAAATCATTGGAACTGATACAATTCCATTCAACAATAACTGTGATATTACAAAAGTTTACTTAAATACATCCTGCTGAGCATAAGTCAACTATGTGACTCACATATAAAGTCAAATTCAAGAAAACATGTTGTGATATCGAAGATGATTTAGGTAAAATCATTCTACCAGGAAAGAGGTATGGAAATGCTTACATTTTAGACTGCATTGAAAACTTATATGGTCACATTTGTCTGGCATGTATATCTGATTATCCCTAGATTTGACATAAGAAACTTGGCCATGCAAGTATGCACCTGATTGAAAACTTTCTAGACATGACCTAGTCATTAGCCTTCCCAAACTTAATTTCTCTAGGAGCCATGTATATGATGGATGTCAACTTGGAAAACAAACTAGAAACTCTTTCAAACCCAAATATGTTGTTTCCACAACCAAGTCTCTTGTCACGACTCGAAACCACCAATTGGGTGTGATGGCGCCTAATGCACTTGCTTGGCAAGTCGAACATAACAAAGACAAATAATAATAATAATAATAATAATAATAATAATAATAATAATAATAATAATAATAATAATAATAATAAAATTATACAAGTATATAGCCTTTAACATAACATAATAACACCAATACATGATAAATTCCATAGAACAGGTAAATACAAGGTCATGAGCTCTAAAACGAAAATACAAGTCTAAAAACCTAAATAACAAATACTATCCGAAATAAAGACAACAATACAAAATGGGAAGAGACGCCAAGACTGTGGTCGAGATGAAGATCTACCTCGACTCTCAGTGACCAACTCAGTTATACGTCTTAGCTACTGATGACTGGGTCCGCCACCTGGATCATCATAACTAAGTGCAGAGTGTAGTATGAGTAAAACTGACCCCATGTACTCAAAAAGTATCATAGCTAACCTCGACGAGGTAATGGAAGTAAGAAATATAAATGATACTCGCTATAACCTGTATAGTTTATGAAGACAACAAGTGCAGAACACTAATATGATCAGGTCATAAATCACATAAAGAACCACCTTGGTGCACACAATTATTTAAAAGACTCTGCTTAGTTAGAATCCAGCATATAAAGAAGATATGCAATTAAAGAAGATAGTAGTCAAGGAAGTTACAAGTAAAGATGAAATACAACAAACAAATCAAACACTGGCCATTTTTTCCTCAGAATTGCCATCAGTTTTCCTCAATCTGTGTGTACACCATTAATAAGGCACATCAAAGGGTGACTATAGGAGGATGGATCCATATCCATACATTGCGCGGCGTATTCATGTGCAATAATCATAATCCACCCAGTAGACAGAACAATTGAAAACAACAATGTAGATATAAAGAACAAACATGAGAAATAGCGAAATGATTAACTAAAAGGAATAACAATTAGGTTCCTCAATATTACAACCAACCATTTTCTTAACACATCAAGCTGAGAGGTTAAGGCAATAACCATTAACGACATAGTTAACCTACAAAATCATAATAAGAGGAATGTATTCAAGATATAAAATCAAATGGTACGACAACACTCTTCTTGCATTTATCTCATCCTCACCAAGCATATGTATGTATGTCAAATTAAATGGCATGGCAACACCCTTCGTGCATTTATTTCATCCTCACCAAGCATATGTATAACAGTACCAACCAAGTAGAAGGAATACTAATAACAACAACAACGAAGTAGAAGGTACAAAGATAACAGTAACAAATAAGGCAGAATCATATGGATAACGGTAACCAAAAAGGTAAGAGGCACAAAAGTAACAATGGCAAATAAGGTAGGAGAACACGTGTTTCAATAAATAACAAGATAGAAGATTTAGATAAAATAATGACAAATGAGCAAATACATTGATGTAAATATAACAAACAAGAAAGATAGCATGAATATAACAATAATAAACAGATAGAAGGCATGGATAGAACAATAACAATTAAGGTAGAAAGCAAAGATATAACAACAAGTTGCAACGTAGTTCACATAGGTGCAACAATGACAACTCATGATAAATGAATAAATGTACACGTAAGGGAAAGATAGCATAATATAATGCATGTCTCTCATCCTCGCCTGTACGGAAACACCCTTCGCGCTATGAACTCTCGTCTTCACAATATAATATAAAAATAATATTACGGCATCACATGATTTTGCTTTCATCCTCATATAATAATACAAAATAATTGTACGGCATCACCCGTTGTGCTTTTACTCTCATCCTCACATAATAATATAAAAACAATAAAGGAAACATCCTTCGTGCAATTAACTCTTCCTCACCTGGTATATATACATCAACAACATGCAAGGTAGGAAGCATGGATAACATGAAGAAGAGTGATTAAGCAAAATACACCACGTGAACGACAACCACAAATATTGCACCAATAAACAAATAAATAAAACCTATTGTTCAAGTATCTAAAAAAACATACATAAACATGTATTCGTGATTTAGGTGCAGTTACGACTGAATTTAGCACATCAAAAACCTCACAAAGAATCCATCATAGTTAATCAAGTTGTAATAAGCATAAGCATGGTATCTAACCTTGATATTTATGCTCATATTATTATAGAAATCAAGTAAAATATGAGGCAAGAAAGTCACATGGTTCAAAAAGGCACAAAAAATCATATAATCTACTCCGAGAATGGATAACCTTGGCACATGCACATACGCTCGTCACCTTGCATATGCATTACGCTAACATGTAGCAAACAATATCATTTTATAAGGAAATATTCTCCCAACAAAGCTAGGAAGATACTTACCTCATTTTGGAACAATTTCCACAATTCAATACCGTCTTCCTTAGAAATACTCCTCAAAATGATTTGTCATGACCCAAAATCTACCTAGTCGTGATGACACCTAACCCAACCCGCTAGGTAAGCCAAACATCTGGTATACAATTCAAATGAAAATAATAAGTAGTCGATATGTGAAATAAGTGATTTCTCATACAATATCCCAAGGATTGATAATACAAGTCATGAGCCACTAGACTTAGATTTACAAATAAGGTATGAAAATAAATACACCATCTGTTTGGAATATACATAAATAGAATACGAATCTAAAATTACCAAGGACTATTGGTAGCTATATCCGGAAAGCAGGTATATCTTTTATGACAGCTCCTGCCATCCACATCGGCATCAGCTTGAAGATCTGCACGCAAGGTGCAGAAGTGTAGTATGAATATAACCAATCCCATATACTCAGCAAGTATCATAAGTAGCCGTGGCGAGGTAATAGTGGCAAGAATTATTAACGATTCTCGCCAAATAACATGTTAAATTCATATATCTCACAAGTATACAACAAAAATGTTATCAAGCTATAAACCACAAATAAATACTCCTTGGTTCCCAAAGATAATGTAACGTGCTCTTTTCTAGTCAACAATCTAGCATATAGAGAAGACATGAACCCAATGTATCAATCAAACATGCATATAGAGAAAATATGGGTGATTAAACAAGTCAAGTCTCACGGATTAACATATAGAGAAGATATGTACTGTGTTGCATATCAACAAGTAAGGTGGAATATAAAGAGGATATGCATAGATGTAACGACCCCATAAACCACAAACAGTCGTGATGGCTCCTATCTCAATTTCTAGGCAAGCCAACATAACAACAACGAAACATCTAGCAGAAATAACACATAATAACTGCGTCAAAATACAATAACTCCCCATAATTGATAATACAGTGTCATGAGCTCTAATCAAAAGTACAAGTATGGAATACAGAATACTGATAATTTTTGAATTTAGAAATAACAGCACAAAAAGGAAAAGAGACGCCAAGATTGTGGTTGGGATGCAACTCTACCTTGTCTCTCCAAAATGCCTAGAGCAACTCCTTACAACTGGCCATAACTAGGTCTGACACCTATATCAGCACAATTAAGTGCATAGTATAGTATGAGTACAACAAACCACATGTACTCAGCAAGTACCATAACTAACCTATAAGAGGTAATAGAAGCAAGAATTACAAATGATACGTGCTAATCACCTATACTATATTGAATTCGACAAGAACAGAACAATAATACGAGCAAGTCATAAATCTCATAATGAACTACCTTGGTGAACATTGTCACACCTCCTTTTTCCGCCCCCGCGAGGGTACGTAGGGAGTTTTTTCCAATTAAAGGACAATCGAAACGGGATTTGTTTATTTATTTCAGAGTCGCCACTTGGGAGATTTAGGGTGTCCCAAGTCACCAATTTTAATCCCGAATCGAGGAAAAGAATGACTCCATATTACATTCTGCGTACCAGAAATCCGGATAAGGAATTCTGTTAACCCGGGAGAAGGTGTTAGGCATTCCCGAGTTCCGTGGTTCTAGCACGGTCGCTCAACTGTCATATTCGGCTTGATTATCTGATTTTATACATATAGAACCTATGTGCGAATTTTAACTTTTAACCGCTTTTGTCATTATTATTATTTTTATCAAGAATTGCAACATCGTGAAAACATATCTTGAACCACGTTACATCAATGCACCCGTGGTTGTTGACATATCTCAACTCGGTTGAGATTTGGATTTGGGTCACATAAATGTGCACCCGAGTTTAAGGAAAATAAATTATTAAAGGTGCGTCTAAAGCAACTAGCGTATTGTTATTCTGGGTAGGGCCGTGGAGTTTTGCTAAACGGTCCATTCCGAAGTCTAAGCAATTTTTTAAAGCAAATATGTACTGAGGGCCCCGCAATTTTGTATTTTTCTTCGGCGAGGCTCATCCCGCTCTTATTTTTAAAGAATTGCAACGTCGTGGACATGCATCTCGGACCACGTCACAATCAATGTGCCCGTAGTTTTTAACATATTTTAACGTCGTTGAGATTTGATTTGGATCACATAAATGCGCACCCGAATTTAGGAAAGTAATTTTATTAAATATGCGTCTAAAGCAATTGCGCTTTTGCACTTTGCGAGGGCCATGAAATTTGCTAAATGGCACGCCTCGGTTTATTTCAAAAGATCACATTTAACTTAAAGCACGAATGTTCATAATCAAAACAAACTTAACCATATTCATATCCATAGGCTAACTATAAGGAAAACAAGAAAAAACTAAAAAATATAAACTATGAAGACAACATTAACGTAAAGGAATCCACAAAGATATCATAACTTTATTCACTTTTAAAAAAAAGACAACAAGCAAAATAATNGAATAATCATATGGGCCACAGGGTTATCATGGCTTTATTCACTTTTAAAAAGAGAACAACAAGTAAACATATAACTGGCGCAACAACCATGACCGAACAGTAAAACTTTTCTTATTTTCGTTTCTTATGTGATTAAATAGAATAGAGATCCATTTGAAATAAACTTAATAAAAGGATATGAAAATCAGTCGAAATCAATTTCAACATATAACCAAAAACAGTTACTACATTATGATACCTATTTCCATATTTGTTGGATTGTTTTTCTCTTTCGCTGGATTCACACTTTTAATGGATTAGTGTCTAAATCAAAACAAATAATCAAGGAAAACATTAATCTTCACACAAGTTACCGAAGAAGAAAAATACATAGACAGAAACATGTAAGCAGAACAAATCCAAAATAAAGAAAGTGGGTCTTACATTGAATCTTCACACACAAAAATGACAGTAATCACTGGACGAAAATGGAAACCTCGACGGAAATAGGAAGCTCGGACCAAGACGGTCAACGACCCGAGATGTTGGCTGTTGCTGGGTTTTTTTTTCGACGCAGCAGATTGATTCGAGAAGATGAAGAAGAAGGGGTCGTTTTGATGTGAGAGAGTGGGAGTTTTTTTTCTTTTCAGTTTTTTTAGGAAGAAGAAGATGAAGTCCAAAACCTTTTTTCTCTCCTTTCCGTTTTTTTTCCGTTTATTTTTATGAAGAAGAAGGTGGCCCCCTTCTTCTAATTTTTTCTTCTTCTTTTTTTTCAATCTCTTTTCCCTTCTTTTCTTTTTCCTTTCCAACTTTTTCCTTTTTAAATCCACCCGTCCCTTTCCAATTTTCCTTTTCGTTTTTTCAATCCAACCTTTTCCTTTTTTATAACTTCCCTCCTCCGTTCCTTTTCCCCACTTTTCAAAAGATGTCCGTGTATTCCTCCTCCTTTTTCAAAAGATGTTCCCCATTATCTTGGAGTTGATGTAAGGTGTGGTGGGTTTGGATTGTTATGGGTTAGGTCCGAAAATTAGACCTAAAAACGGGTAGTTTGAACCCAAATATTATTCATTTGCCCGGACCCGAGAATAAGAACACGACGTTGTTCAATTAATCCTATGTAAGTAAAATAACTACCAAAATAAGACTGACATTTAAAACAAAACTATTTTTTAATATTTTTTCAAGATTAAAATAGCTACAAAACATTAATAAAACTATTTTTGTGATTTTCGTTTTTATATAAAGATAAAATATAAAGTATTATTTTTTTTTGTGTGTGTGTTTTCTAAAGATTAAAATGACTATAAAACGTTAACGAAACCATTTTTTTGTAATTTTCGAAATTATATGAAGATAAGATAAAAAAATACAAAGTACTAATTTTGTATTTTCAAAATATTAAAATGGCTGGAAGACATTAGTAACTATTTTTTATAATTTTCGAAATTATATAAAGTACAAAAATAAGGTAATATTTTTGTATTTTTCAAATTTATGAGAAACGCATAAACTAAAGTATATATATATTTTTTTGTAATTTTTCTTTTTGTGACGAAATAAGGTAAAATAGTCAAAATTAGCTAAAATAGCTATATTAGACCTAAATTAAATATTTACACTAAAAATGTGAAAATTCTTGGGAAGGGTCAAAAATCACATGTCTACAAACATGATTTTTTAACATACTCTGCTGAGTCAACAATTCAAGATATAAAGATGATATGCAATTAAATTAGGTAAATAATCAAGGACATTGCAAGAAAAGATGAAATGTAGTAACCAAATCAACCACTCGCCAAATTTTCCTCATAATTTCCATAATCGTACCAAACCATTAATCTATTTTCCCCAATAACCGTGTGTACACCATAAAGAAGGAGCATGAAAGGGTGACCCTAGGGGTTTCGATCCATATTCGCATACTGCATGGACAACTCACGTAATGCACAGACAACTCATGTGCTAATAATATCAACCGTATGGACAACTTACGTATTGCATGGAAAACTCATGTGCCAATCATATCAAATGCACAAACAATCAACCTCGCGTGGTCATAGGTTCAATATCATAATCCACCAAGCGTGATCACATGCTACCAATCCAGATCAAATCACACAGAAATTGAGTATACAGGAATACATGTACATGATCAATGAATATCAAAGTTTCATACTCCTGGACTGGTATAAATGACATTCTAAGGTGTATGCATGTGCAAAGTGTTATATCATAGCTCAATCCAGCAATTTCATCACGGAAGTAGAAATTATCAGGTTCAATCAGGATAATAACCTCAACGTAATCTCAAATATGGTACAAATAGCTCACAGAGGGGTATAAATAGGAGGAACATCACAACATGAAGCTTAGCAATCAAATCAAGCCATATCATAACCTAAGCACTACCCCAAGCATGAATAACACCCCGATTCAGGCACATGGGCTCAATCCCCACACATGTGCACCTCCCATAGCGCATAACTATCACAAATAACTCAAGAAACTAGTGTCTCGACCAAGTTTAGTAAGATACTTACCTCAAGCAAGCCAAATCAATCCCCTAATAAGCCCTTCCTGTGTTAATCAACCTCCATACGGCTCGAAACTAGTCAAAATAACTTAATATCATCACTAAATGCCATAAAAATGATTCCAAATGATAAATCTAAAATCTTTAACCAAAATCAAAAAGTCACCCAAAATCAAAAAGTCAACCAAAAATGTCAACCCTAGTCCTGCACCCCGAAATCCGACCAAACTCACATATTCCGAACATCCATTCAAATACAAGTCCAACCATACCAATTACATTCAATTCCTGCCTCAAATGGAACCTCAAATCATCACATCTCACTCACCAATAACATAGTTTAAAAAACCCCCAATATCCCACCTTTAATTTATGTAAATTAGGTGTAATAATCTATGAGTAATCAATATCTAACACCAAAAGTGAGTTAAGATCACTTACCCTTTCAATTGTGATGAAAATCCCTCCAAATATTGCCTCTAACTGAGCTCCACAACTCAAAATGACATAATGAACATATTGCAACTTCTGAAATAACAATCCGAATCTAATATCATCAAAGTCAACTCCTAGTCAAACCAATGAACTTTCCAAACCATCAAATTGCCAACTTTTGCCAATTAGAGCCAAAAGCTTCTAGAAACATCCAAATGCAAATCCAGGCATACGCCCAAGCCCAAAATCACCAACCATACCTAACGGAACCATAAAACTTGGTCAACTCGTCCAACTTAAAGCTTCCAAATTAAGAATCATTCTTCCAAATAAATCTCAAACCACTATAAAACGAAAACCGACCATTCACGCAAGCCATAATACCTCACATGAAAGTACTCAAGGCCTCAAACAACCAAACATAATGCAAATTCTCAAAACAACTAGTTGTGTTGCTACATTCTCTCGCCTTTAAACAAATGTTCGCCCTCGAATGTTCCATGAGTCGTTCTGAAGCCATCAAAAGTATATACAACTCACCATACACTGACCCATGGGTGATCCCATGCCACCACAATCCACATAATCCCATCAACACCACCCAACCGAAGATTCTTTCTCTAACCATAGTCCATAAACCTTGGAACCCAATCACCAACATTTGGAATTCATTATATGGCCTTTGCATCTATACACTATAATACTCTGAACAAGTTGTACCAAGCCGTACCAAATATTCAAATATATAATCACATGATATAGTACATAACACATGTACTCATAGTAATACCTTATGACAACAATAGTTTCTCATTACTAAACCCGATTCCAGCGATATACCTCATCTAAAATGAAAGCCTTGTTCCAAATCTTCATACACTACCAATGATGAACGGAACACATAGGAACTCATAACCACTTATCAGATCAACAAGTCAAGGAGCTCACTCGCCCGATAAGAACCATAGCTAAATTCTAAGCTGACTTTTGACATTATTCTTCCAACTTACCATAACTAAATTTGATAGCACAAATTTTAGGTCAAAGAATCTAATTTCACATAGTGAAAGCCACTTGACTGACATACCACACCAATGAGACCCAGAGCTACATACGAGGCAATCTCTGCACTTGACAAGCAACAACGCGAACGTAACCAATGATGGAAGGAGAAGCGACTGAGAGAACTGTCCTGCAAGCTTAATAGATACCACCACAAAGCATAATTCTGTTAATCCATCTCACATGAGAGGAACAGAACACACCAAAATAAGCAACGAGGATCATATCCCAATACAACTCCGCTACGGCGCGTACTCGATTCGACATATTGTTCCACATAGATTACTTTTCCGAAATTCTCATAACCAAACACGTGTATATCAATTGAAAGCACTCAAAGTGCATGACCATAACCATGAAGAAATGGATAACACAATATACTGCAGATAGGAAAACCATAACCAACGTGCAATAAACAATTCAACACCCTAAGAGCTATCTCGCTAGAACTATACCACAAGGCCCAAACAGAACTGCATCATGTGTGTAAATAGTTAACAGTCTCACAATCCATTATATAATATGAGAGTAACACATGGAACATATCAGAACACGACTAAGATCAACTCTAGCCGATGGCACATCCATCAACACTAGTTGTGCAGAGTAAACAAACCTAGTCCGATGTAGAACACACATTCCCATTAGGCCTATAAATGGTCCCCCAAATAAACTCTAATCATGTACGAATAGGTAAATAACCTTCCAAAAGCCCCAATAACCTATCCATAACATATAACATCAGTTGTCAAACTCTAGCCTTATCTTCACTGTCCATAACTAAAGAACAATCTGCCTCTGAGAACTCCAGACTTCAAATCCCTAGAATACAAAATATCTATATCGGATCCCAACTCCACTACTCAAATAACTGACACATTACTCATACATAATTATCTCACGATAACACTCTTATGAGTCTTCCGCGCCATGTAGCAAAATCAAAACATCAACAATCAACAATCGGGTGATTACCATTATACCAATCAAGCATTTACAATTTAAAACACTATGCGCCTTCAGAAATGCACACCCTTCTAAAGAAGTAAACCTACCTTTCAGCAACCGAGTGAATCCCTACTCCATGCACACTACATCCACCACTAATAACAAACCTGAATCATTCCATGATTTCCTGATGCCTATGAAATATAATACATCATGAATTCGTCAATTTACTTGCTCAAGTCATCCTTGAATCACCCTCTTCAAGTCATAACCGATCCATAATCCTCAAACAAAAACTAGTATAACACATGACCTCTCAATCTGATCGTCGATAGAAGAATCCACCACTTGGCTCAAAGCCATATAACATAACATCGATAGAAGAATCCACCCACAATACCCTTATCTATATCTACCATGATCTTGCACTATAGTTCAACTAAATCCTTCATAAGCGCATGTAGAACTAGTCATAAATACCACAAATCATCAACTAAGAACATATTCATCCACATGAAAGTCATGCAAACTCACTCGAGCAATCTCAATTCAAATTGCAGCACATATAACCCAATGTAGAATATAAACTCTTTATAGAAATATCATAAGGATCACACAACCTGAAAGCATCTTGTAGGAGATAACCAACATGCTTAACCTCAATCTGGAATCTTTCTACGCTCTATTGTCACAAACTTGGTTCGCCCTCCATGAACCATCGTGACGGCACC